ATGGTCTCATTTTAATGTTTATTTATTAGTATAGATGCTCTTATTTGTTATAATTAGTTTAGGTTTGCGAGGCCCTATTCGCTTGAACTTATCAGCCTGGCTTATCAGGCATGGTGCAGTGTTTTCCTCTCACAACAAATCAGCTAACAATACTTTTAGCCTGGCTTTTTAGTATAGAATAGATAGGAGTTAAAGCGATTTAGATGACAACAAAAATGTCGTGTAACTACTGACCACCTCGTCCTTCTCCTTTCATTTAATTACTCAGTACAAAATGTGGTTTACCTTTTTTTAAAAAAGTGTCTACCTCATCCTTATCCTTTCATTTAATTACTCTGTATATAGGACGTGGTTTAGTTTTTTTTGAAAAAAGAGGTGTCTATACCTTGTTTCATTGATTTTTTGGTTGCATGTGTAGCCCACACCGGTCATCGCCCGCCAACGCTACCAACGAGGTGACGGGCTTAACCTTTATGAAGCACGAGGCTTCAGGGTGATGTTTAGCCACTTTAGAGTTTCATGTCTCAATTTTCAAGATTCACATATGTTGCCGTTCTCATAAAACTCACTTTATTTTATGAATTTTTCATCATTTTCTCTTCATTTATACTATATCATATCAGCTTATTTAGTTTCTGTGAAACTCTCATAAAAATCTAACATTTTGCAAATATGGTTCCCCAAACCACAAACGAGCCCACAGTAAACATGTTTTCTAGTAGACATATGATAAAACATGATTTAAGCCTATTCATTCGACAAAAAAAATATACTAACAGTCGCGGGCCCATGATCTTTATTTGCCACGCTCGTGTTCGCTGCTGAAGCAACCCTTAGATGTGCGTCAACATGAGATTGGACAGACTCGGCACAGTGGGCGCACCTTGTCTCCCCCCTCTGCCTTCCCTTTATACTTGCGCGTCTCGTCACCCTCATCTTCGACAGCTATTCACTACCGCAGACCAATTCTTTCCCTGTGGCGTGGAGTACTCCCGTCCGTCCGGACCTCCCATCACGGGCGCTGCTCCTTCTCTGACGTGTGGAGCAAAACCGAAGCGGAAGGCATCCGCACCGTCAGGGACACTTAGGCGCCCCCGAAAAATCAGACCCGCGCGCTTTCAGCGTTTGTATGGCTCACGTGTCAGAGAGAGGGGACGAAAAGAATGGCGCGCAAAGAGGCGCACGGCGGCCGCGCACCCCGCGCAAGTGAAAAAAAATCCCCTACCCTTATCCTTTCACCTGGGCGGACTCTTCCTATCTCCCAATTTCTTTGCCCTCTCCCCTCTCTCTCTCTCTCTCTCTCCGAAAGACGGCGGCGGACGGGCGGAGCACAACGCAACGCAGGCGATGCCGCCGCCGATGCATGTCCGAGGTAAGCCCCTTGCTCCCTCTCTCTGTTCCCTCTCACGCCTTCTCCCTTTAATTTGCTTCCACACAGGGTCATGCGTCACTGCGCCGGTCATGGAAGAGGTTAGGATGTGGCAGATCCATCACCATGAGCCGGCGAGGTTCCAACGAAGGGTGGCACAACATGAGCAAGGTCCACAATGGCTTCACTTCCCTAGATCCGCCGAGGTGAGCCCCTGCTCCTCCGATCCTCCGCTTCGCATGTCTATGGTGGGATCCGGCAAAGCAAGGTGAGCCCTGCTCCTCCCAGCGAGGTCCATGGCGTTGCATCCAAGACAAGATACTTGCACATGGAGGAAGATGCCAAGATCCGGCGGATCCATGATATGGAGGCACCACAACCCCCCATGAGATCTATCTCCAATGTTCCTTATTCAACAGTTAAGTATCTCGGCCATATATGTGAGGGAAAAGTTAAATATGTACCACCTAAAAGCTTGCTTATTGTCTTAATATGCCTTGTTTGAAAAGGCCAGATCTGCATAGTTTGAAGCTAGTTGCAAGTATTTTTATTGTTTGAATAGATAATGCCTTTCTACAACTAATTTTCGATCTAATTTGTTACGCTACATCCTCTTTTTGCTATCCGCATAATATTTTAAATCTGAACATTGTGGTTTTAAAGATAGGTTCTATACTAGTGCACTATCTTGTTGAAGTTTTCTGAACTACAAGAAGCTCCGTATACTTTTTTTTAGGGAAGAAGCTCCATATGCTTCGTTGTACATACTGATTATTTTTGTCCAACATAGAACAGCACGTTTCTTATTCTCGAAAAGGAGCATATCCATCGTTGTTTTAGATTGTCCAAACCATTGCGGATATTTCTTTCATGGCTTTGTTTATCTATGGTACACATGAACACCGGCTAGGGAATTAATCTATTATGTGCTTGTTACAATTAATCATCTTGTATGCCAAGAGAGACTGTTATCATGCATATATGGCAGCAGGATCATGTTTTTAATTGTTCTTACATTTTTTGGCTTCACATTAATTCACTCTAGCTTTATGCTTTAAGTTTGATTCTTTGCTTGGTAATATTGCCACACTGATTCATGTGGCAGTTTTCATCCAGACTTGGCAAGACATTACGCTTTATTTTGATGAAGGTACTGTTTTGTTTCTCTAAACTGTAGTACTCATGATCGTTAAGGCATTCATTAGCACAAGCGGAATATCTATATAATTTTTAGCCTAAGTCCTAAGTCTTTTATTTCTCTTTGTGACTACTAACTTCTTCTCTTACTTCAAGGATGACCACAATGCAACCCTCAAAATGACTTTGTGTTGCCCCAGACTAGTTCTTTCCCTCATGCAAGGAGCTGTCTAGATTGGTAGAAGTAGAAAATACTTTTAGATTGTTTTAGGCAATTTATTTACCCATCAGAGAGGTGCTAGAACACTGATTTGAACAATAAGCCTTTGTATTTTTATTGGGCAGCTTCATTTTTCATTGATTCAGTAGAACGGATATATGTGATCTATTTGTCCTCACCGAAGCTGTGCCTAATACATACATATAGGAATAAATTGTGTTAACATTTTCATGCACCTTTGTGAATTTACATTTGGCAAGTACTCCTGCATAGAAATCGAGCAATTTTGGTTCTAAAAATATTATCGTGTTCACTTTTGTTTCTAAAGACAGTTTTTGCTTAGATGAAGTAGCATTGCTGAAATCTCATATGTGATTCGGGCATTTAGCTAAATAACTTGTGAGATCTAGCCAGTTAAACTTTTGTCCCACAGGAACTTTTAACAAGCTGCCTTATGTATGCATCTCATGTGGAATTGGATTGTGATCAGCAAGTATGTAACTAATATATTTGGGACTGAACTTTTAAGTAATATATGTGAAGTCCAGTTTAGTCTTGAGGTAACTCCTTGTTTTGTGATTGTTGAGCTCTGTTATTTATTTCTAACTAGGGGGTGCTTTTAGTAGACAACACATTTTTTCATGAATTCCTAGTCACCAGGTGTCTACTTTGATGCAATCATGCCATTATCACTTGTTCATGTACTGCGATCTAGTAGATGTTTTTTGCTTGTAAAGAGAGCTTTACTAACCAAGAAAGACATTGCTAACTTACTCATGAGGAACAAAGCACAAGTTTTTCATAAGCATTGTGACATGATCTCTTGCTAATGGTTATTTTTATCTTGTTTTGAATGTAGGATATGGAGATGAATGGATGTGTAGCGAGATAATGTGTATTTGTGTCAAAGGGCTTGTAGGAAGTAGGAATTAAACTTCTATTTTCTACATGTTGGTTGCATGAACTATAACATTCCAACTTGGGTTTGCTTTATTTTGCAAGGCCTTTAGAATGTAGCATAAGATTTCTTGACATTGTATAAACGACTTCAATAATAATTATATGTATCAAGCAGTTGAGTGTAACATTTAATGTTGGTTGGTGTGTGGATGCATAGTTAAATTAAAAGGATCGACTAATCAATGATTTGAATAGTTGAATGAGCTTTTATCGATATTAAAATTGTGATTTCCCGATGGTGGTTGGTTTTGGCGAAGGTTTGATCCTTCCCCGACGGGAGATGGCGGCGCAGGTAAGTTTCAACCTTCCTGCATTTGTATCAGAATCGAGGTGGTAAGTTTGAACCTTTCCTGACGGTATGATAACCAACGGGAAAACTCTCTCTTGACGGAAACAAAAAAGTCGACGGGAAAACTCTCTCCTGACGGCAGTAACCGTCAGGAACCATTCCGTGACGGTTTTCCGTCAGGGAAGGTGGACTTTCCCTGTCAGTTCATCCCTGACGGGCCATCCCTGACGGTACCTGTCAGAAAAAGTTTTCCCTGACGGTTTTTAGTACCTTCCCTGACGGATTTGGCCGTCACGGAAAAAGTCGGCTGAGGTAGTGATTAGAGATTTGGGTTTTCAAGGGGTGAGGAGGGGGAGTTGATGTGGCAACAATGGTGATGTCGGGGTGTTGGGTGTTGAGTGAGGGGGCAGGGGCTTGGGATTTAGGGTTTGGAGTGAAACATGAGCAACTCTGATGTGGTGACGTCGTCACCGCACTCATGGTCTCGAATCGAACACCATGTTCACGTGCATGCGATGCGATGATGGGTGTGAGACTCTTATTGTGCGCGCTCACTCGTTGGTAAAGACTAGCAACCAATGAAATTTATTAGTCATACCAAAAAACTAATCAAGAGAATAAAGTAATCATAGATATTTATAGCCGTTGATGCAAGAAAGAAAAGAGATTAAGAAAATTTCATGCAAAGAACTGAAGATATTTATGACAGAAGAAAAGAAAAATTTAATCGACTATGCAATGAAAGTAGTAGGTTGAAAGAGTTCAATTAAAAACTGTCAATTGAAAACTAGATGGCGCACGTGCCCTAAAGAAAAATTACGTGGTATACGGCTCTTTCCTGTGCATGTATAGCGTCTACGGTGTTGCGGTTGAAGTTGTGTGTTGTGAGCGTCTGCATTGTACCGTGTAATTAAAAAAACTTGTAGAAAGACTAGAATAAATTTATTTTTTCTTCTAAGAACTATTTTTCTCTAAATTGTAGTTGGACTAACCACTAGCTAGGGTAGTCCACTCGAAACATGTCCTTATTTTCTAATGGCGTAGATGATCAACGCGATGATGATGCTCCAGAAGAGCCAGCCGAGAATACCCAACTGCACACGAAAAGGAAAAGCGTGGTGTCAGCTGAGACGGATCGAAGTATATCAAATGCATGGACGGATCGATCGATCGATGGAGCTAGTACCACATACCGCGCACTTGCCGCACGGGGTGTCCTCGCAGGACGGGGCGTCCGTCGTCGAGGGCGGCAGCACATCGACGCGCACATCGTGTCTGGCGTTGTCACTGTAGGACCTGCTGCTGCTGCTGGTTGTGGTGGCAGTCGGCCAAGAGAACATCGTCGCGGGGCCGAAGAACATTGGCGGCGCGACATCGTCGGTGTGGCAGTGGTGCGGCGCGACGACGTCGTCGGTGTGGGAGTGGTGCGGCGAGACGTCGTCGGTGTGGCAGTGGTGCGCCGGCGGGCAGGGGCAGTCATGGTGATGCATGGCCGCCGGGGATTATTGTACTAGCCGAAGGCGATCGAAGCTGGCCGGGAACGCGGATGGTGTCTTCGCGTCGCGTCGGCGGTTTGCTTGGACTCACGTACGTTTGGTTGCAGTGTTGCACCGTCACCACGTACCGTACTACCTGGAGCCTATGCGAGGTGTATATATGCTGGCCTGGCGCCGCGGGTTCCAACTAGTCTCGAGATCAGACTCCGTGCCGCGCCCGGAACGGTTTCATTCATGCACAATCTGTAATAATCTAGGAGTAAAATCACAAGTGTCATCAGATGCCACGATAAAGAAGATATTTCTCCTTCGCAGCCTCGACGTGCACCTCTTCTTCTGGGAAACAAAGCGGACTACGAGACGCCGTGGTACAGCGGCGGTGTCCCGGGTCGCTGCGGTGGACACGGACTTGGAAACTTGGAGTGAGAGAGGCTCTGCGGACCGGGCTGTCCGGGCCAGATCGAGGTGCGGGATGCCAATTGGTAGCCCAGAAGGCCCAGGTAACCAAACAGAGCCGCACGCGCTGCGCTGCGCCTGACTGCCTGCGCCGCGGTGCGGTGCTTCAGTTTAGTCCCACCTCGGTGGCTTTGAGAGGGCGGGGGCGGAGGAGGCTTATAAAAGCAGACCCAGGACGCTAACACAACTCATACCTTTCTCGGCCTTTTGGCTAAGATCAAGTGTAGTATCTGTTCTTATCAGTTTAATATCTGATATGTGGGCTATGAGCCCATTTCGATATTAAATTTATTTTTTGTGGGGGAGGGTCCATCACTGTGGCTTGCCACTGCGGCCCTCGTGTGTCGCTCGGGCGTTGCACTACTGCCCGAGCATGGCGCACCCCAACCAAGTCGAAATTAAGTATTTGTTGGGCCTAAATCTAAGGCTGTAACAGCGAGTTTTGAAGTGAAAATAGAATTGGACTTCTCAGGCCCGAACAGACGATATACGCATAAAATAATATTAAACAGTGGTTTTTGTCCAAATAATCAGCCGTAGGTGTAATCGTCGCCACCAGTGTGAAGTACGTCTGTCCGTCATTGGCTGCTAGGCGAAACTGGCCTGTCTGAACTCAGGAATCTAATGGCCACTACAATCGAGTAAACTAGTCCCTATAAATAAAATCGTTTTGTGCACACGGCCACAAATGGTCCCATGGTCTAGTGGTTAGGACATTGGACTCTGAATCCAGTAACCCGAGTTCAAATCTCGGTGGGACCTTATTATTTTGTTTTGATTGTTTTCTTTTCCAGTTCCCATCAACTATTTTGTTTCTTGATAGAAATGCATACATGCATGTCTTTACCATTACGAAGGAATATAAAACAGTTCTTGCAAATATGAAAACAGCGGGCATTCAGTTCGCCAAGCTTCCGCGCTCAGGCTCTTGAGTCCCACTGTCCCAGAGAGCCTAAACGCCTCTCCGGCTCTCCGATTCCTGGACCAACTGACATATCGTTGGGCTTGTTTGAATAAAACCCAACTCCTCCTGTTCCATATGGATTTAAGTGGGAAACAAATTATTTTTTCTCTTTGTCCCTCTCAACACGTATGTATTGGGGTGCTTATTTTCTCTATCCAAAGAGGCCCTAGAACCAAACTGTGAACACAGCACCAGATCTGCTTGTATTAGCTGTAGCTAGTAAGCAAGTGATCGACCGTCTCGCGGGTAGTGCTGGCTGCCACTCTCTGTTGTCGCCGATCCCATGGTCCACAGTCTGTTGTCGCCAATCTCCATAAAGTTCAGATTGCTTGTTTTGTCCGTTTTCACAATCGACAGAAGCTACAACAGACCATCAAGCTCACCAGATGAAACTGCAGCTGCAGAGTGGCTATGCTCAAAAGTTTTCAGCTGCAGAAGCATGATCTGATTCAATCCAATGATCAGGATCACCTCCCGACTTAGGCTTAAACCGCTCTGCAGCTAACCACTACAATTCACTTTCAGAACCCCAACCTGAAAGTCCACAGCAGGATCAACCACTAAAATTTCAGAAGAGTTTTGAAGGGCAAATGGCTCTATCTGAGAATTTTTCTGGCTTGCATTTCAAGGATCGCACACCCAGTGCGCCATTTATTCCATTTCAAATGACTGAGGTAAGGAAGGAAAGAGAAAGAAAAAAGAAGGATCTATTCTGTATACACAGCTTTTCACCTAGAGGCATCAAAGAGATGCACACCAAGTATTGCTAATCTGCGGGTACTCCTACACAACAACACTTTCTTCAAACTCTATGGGATCCGGGAAATTTTCCCGTGAAGCCCTCTTGAATGAGAATGAATTCTCTTCGTCCTCATCGCTTGCCTCGGTTCCCTGAGACTTCGCTGTATTTTTCTGAGCAAGTGCTTGCCCCGACGTTGGCATGACCTCCCAGCCGTGGTACTTGTTTCCATGGAAGGCAAAACGCCAAGAGCCGTGAGATGGGGTACTTCTGAGATGAGATGGATTGGGTTGGAGCTCTTCCTGCTCCCGCACCACCCTTAGTGGGTTCTCCAGTGCTTTCAAGATATAGCGCGCGAGTGGACGCCTAGAAGGCTTTGGATTCAGGCATGTCTTTGCGACAATGGCCACTGCCCATACTTCCTCTAGGTGGTCGTCATCCACAACAAGGGTAGGATCTACAATACCTGAGACATCCTCCTTGTCATTGGCATTGATGTAACCTAATGTTCTTGCTAACCACTCTTCTGAATCTGCGTCAGTTGAGCCACTCACACCAAAGTTTCCGGTGATTAGCTCTAGTAGCACCTTCCCAAAACAGTAAACATCGTATGAGCAGCTAGCTGGTGGACCTGTAAAGTGAGAACCAGAGATCATATTGTTACAACACACAATTTTATTTTGCACAACAAGCACTTTTAGTTGCATGAATGTATATATAGAGATTGCAAATATTGAACAAAAGAGAGCTGATGAGTGCTTTACACACCTGATATGTTCTTGTCAAGGGACCTGCCAGAAAGAAACAAATACTACTGTCAGCAAAGGACCCTCATATATCATATAAATAGAACTCAAAGTTGTAGAGTACGTGTGTTGCTTGGCAGTACATTTTCTTAGGGGAAATGGTTGAAGTTAACCTACCTTACAGGAACACCGATATATGTTAAGATAGGCAAAAGGCCAGAAGTTTAACCAGGGTGAAGTATCAGTACATTATCCTACCATGAACTCTCTTAATTTTCACAGATGTCTTATCAATGTGGTTCTGGGACATAATATTGCAATTTGCAAGTGTGATACTAAAAAACTGCTTATGAGGATTCTCTAGATAAGAATTAAGCTACACATTCTTGGTGGGAGGAACTTTTGTAGCCAAACTGGATTCTAGTTAGAAAATGCAGTACATGGTCTCCATTCTCCAATTCCAAGCACCTGATAGCACTATAGTCTTGTAGTTGTAGCCTGTTTTTGCATTGACCCAAAATTACTTAGCCTCCTTTTGTGGTAAGTGGTAACGCACTAATGCAGTTGCCAGGTTAATACCATTTAGGTGATCAGACGTACTAGTTTTTTCCTTATAAAAAGAGCATGTTCATTAAATCAGTTCTGGGGGCAAGAATGGTTCTACACCCATGTAGATCTGATGCCAATGAAAGCATAGAGGATGGTTTAGAAATCTCACCTCGATGATCTTAGAATCCGAGAGAAGAAACTCTGGCTTCCTGCACTTTGTTGAGTGCATATTTCACCCAGACTCCCAAGGCGCACTTCAAATTTGTCATCAAGAAGCACACTGCTAGCTTGGATATCTCTACATTTACAATGAAGACATAAGTCGGAAATAATAATGCATGCACTAACAGTTATCAAGATATCAAAAGAACTTGAACAACTTGCAGATATTCAGAATTGCATGACCAAAACTATATAAAATAGAAAAATAAGGCAACCAAGATGGGAAACTGCAATTAAAAATGACTGCCATCAAGCACACCAAAACTTAAAATACAAATGTACAGTTTCTTAGAATGACTGGTGATACCATGAATAGACATGTTATAAAAACAATAACTTCAGTACCATGACAGAGACATGATACTTTCACAAAACAATCAATCTATTTCATTGCCAAAATATGTTAGGATTAAGTGATTAACTGTTGACATGGAACCAATGGACCTAAGCTTAAATGTTCAAGGTTCGTTTATTTTCAACTTTGAGATTTGATGTCCTCACATGTAAATGAAGGTTCTATGGAAACCTGCACATGCTATTTTCCCTTAAGCTATGGTTCGTGGAAATACATAGTGTGCCAATTGATGCAGGACCACAAGGGACCATGTAGAGGACCCCCACCAAAATGTGCAACTACTAATTATTTTAAATGTACAACTACCTTTTGCCACTATCCCACTTGTCACCTCTTGTGGAATTATTTAATAAATAGCAGGAATCTGTTGGGCTTAGCTACGTGTAATTTCTACTATCTGTTCCATCATGTTAATTTTGAAAGCAGCCATATACTTTATGCAACAAATTATTTTTCAAAACTACCATACATCAACTAACAGCTCATGGAATACATTAGCAAATAGTTAAACAAGAGAACGCTTAGCATACCTGTGAACCAACGGAGGACTGCATTCATCATGAAGGAAGCACAAGGCCTCAGCCACACCAATTGCAATCTTGAGCCTCGTTATCCAATCCAATGAGCGCAAACCCTGTTCAACTTCGACTGACTTCTTGTGCAGTGCAGTTGTGAGGTCACCTTTTGCCATGTACTTGTAGACCAGCAATTCCTCCTCATCCTTAGCCAAATGGCCCAGCAATGAAACGATTCTCCTATGGCTATGCTTTGTAAGGAAGCTCAACTCGCCCTGGCACTTCTTACTGCTCTTCAGATCAATCTTTTGATGACAACTTGAAAGCCGCTCTCCAGGACACCATGGTACATGTCACCGGAGTGCCCATGCTTGACGAGGTTATCATCCCCAAAGCCCCTGCAGCATGGTGCAACTGCTCACAGGTGAATTCATCTATGATAATAGGG